GTCAGAAACATCAGAAGCGCGGACTGACGGAAACACGCTAGGCGGGAACCCCCCAAGCCAAAGGGACGGATGTGCCAACTGGCGCATCCGCCTCTTCCGTAACAAGTAAGGTCATGTAGTTCGAAAGTGAAGGCTTGGGAAATGAGAAAAGGATCTGGAGAACCAAGTAGCGCCGTCAGGCGAACCAAACATGCGTTCAGCGAAACGCTCTGTCCACCATGCAACTGACGGGACAGCGGCAAACCAAGAGGCGACAGCCGTACCCGCAGATCCGCCTCGAGCCAACTCTGTGTTTATTTAAATTCGTACTAATGGTCAGACATCGCTACGTCTCCTTGATACAGCCTGCGAAGTGGAGTTTATATCTGAAGCTATGGCCAGGCATATGAAAGTTGGTTCGTCTGAAGGTCTTACATGTATTTCTACCTGCGTGCACGCTGGCTACTGAACGCGAAGTTGGTGCTTATCAATTGCCTACAGTGATAGTCCATGAATCGAAAATGGCTTGGTTAACTTGCATGTGCGGCTACCTTGCAAATAGAATTGCACCAAGGGGGGCTGGAACTCATGACAGGCCCATTGCTCTCAGCACCGGCGCCAGGTCATTGGACAGACGTGCCCAGGAAGCATGGATACTGCAGGAGTGGCCGCCTGCTTTTGGGTAACTCTTATTTCCAGTCTTCTGACTCGACTGCAGCTAACTACAATCTTCGGCTAAGGTAGGGGCCTCTCGTCAGAGTATGCCCTGGGTCTCGGAGAGAGCAACCAACAAAAGAAGAGCAACTTGGGCTCTAGGCTGGCTCGAGTACCTAAGCATGTCACATATATCCTTTGTCTAATGCTAATGAGGCATTAGGAACAGTGGTGGGGGCTGAGTGAGCCCGCTTGGATAGCTTTAACANTTGTCTAATGCTAATGAGGCATTAGGAACAGTGGTGGGGGCTGAGTGAGCCCGCTTGGATAGCTTTAACAGGTCAACAGCACTGTTCTCTGAGAACTACAAAACCCAGTACACATTATGCTTTGGGAGCCTAAACGCGTTTTCATCAAGGAATGGGAGTTTGCTGCACTTTGCACCTTCACCTGACTCAACAATGAATCTATATACCTGTTGAGTAGGACAAGCTCATTGCAGGGGCCCACGGGCCGTTGGGGGGCCCCCAACATTCTCCCACCGTACGCGGCGCACTGACAGAATCGCTTCTTCCTCCGTATTTGTTCGTTTATTCAGCTACTTTACATCCATTATCTTCATTAGGTACGTAAATTGCGTAGAGAAAGGCTGTGGAGATCTGCTGCCTCAGTCGTCCTCTGGGGTTGCCCGATGCTTCGGCGGGCCTCAACCCAGCACCTACAGGGCTTCTTTTTTTATGATGATTCAACCATATAACGACTTTCGAGCGGTTAAGAAAAGTCATTCATAGCCTGCACCTACTACCGGCTCCCCATAAACACCAATACGGGGTGGTCCTTATTAGCTGGGGGCCTGGAGCGAAAACAACAGCAAAAAGCAGCGGCGGCGGCATCAGAAACAGCCGTAGCTTCTGTGGAAACGGCTGTAGACTCAGAGTGTGGGTCACCAGCAGCAGCCTCTCAGGCTTGCTCTGTTTTGCTCCGCAGAGGAGCTGCCCCAGCGGATCGATCACGCAACCTGTGTTTAGCAGCGCTGCTGGTGCTGCCGCCACCACGCGTGCAGCAGGTGCAGTGGAAACGAAGACCCCTAGAGCTTCGTACAACCAGGACCTGCCGGCCATGAGTGCAGGAGGGGCAGCTTGCTGCACCTCAGCACTATGAGAGGAACAGGCAGCGCCTCATTTAAACAATGAATCAGCGGTGGCAGCAACAGCAGCAGCATAAGCAACAAGTAGAGCAAAGCGAATACCTGACTGCGGAGAGTTGCAAAGATGACTCCGTAAGTTTAACATCGCCTCCAGCAGAACCAGCATCGAGTGCTGCGGAAGCTGATAATGCGATTGACACCAACTGGAGCTGCAGCCCCACACTGGAGTCCGCGCTGCGTCCGGCCCCTCCTTTCTGCCCTTCTCCCCCATACCCGTTGCTCCCCCCTTTTAGCGCGGATGCGTTTGCCGTTTCTTCCTCTGTCTCGGCTCTGTGGGCTGAGGCCAGCGAGAGGCCGTCTGTACTCGAGCTCCTTCTGCAGCTGCTGCAGCAAATCAGCAGCAATGAAACCAGCGAACTGCACAAACATCTAGTCAGACAGTCCATAATTTCCCCACACGAGCAGCCCCAACGTGCTGGCATTGCCGTTGCACCCGCGACCAGCAACACCAGCAGCAAGCAAGAGGAATGGCTGACAGGGATTGCAGCAGCAACTGCAGCTGCTGCCACCCCTGGGGTGTATGTACACCCTCCAGATGGGGCACTTTCCCTGGAAGCCGCTGATTTATGTTCGACAAAGTGTTCATCAGAGCATCAAGAGCTGCAGAAGGTGCTGCAACAAATGGCCCTTGCAGCTGCGGCTGCATTCGAGGTTTTGGATATGCAGCCGCCGGCTGCACCGACAGCAGCAGGCGCAGCAACTCCAGAGATGGCAGGACCAGCTGCAGGACAAACATCAGCAGAGGCTACACTGACGAAATCAACGAGAGAGACCCGCCGACAGCAGGGTGTTACCGCCTTGGACGATGCACAGAGCACCCGATATGGGAGGGTTTATGACGTCACCGGTACCAGTTCCAGCGATAGCAACAGCAGTGGCTCTAGAGAAGAGAATATGGGAGGGAACTGTGGGAGCAATAGTGTCTACAGGAGGGCAGCAGCACCCGGTTTTCCCCCTTTTCGCTCGTATGCGGAGGTGTACAGACAGTGGAAGCTCTTCCAACAACAGCTTTTTCCTGCAGGTACTATTCTTCATTCTGTCCTGCTTACGCTTGTCAGTGCCTGCGGTCTTATTTATAGGCGTCTTCACAGAGACAACCTGTTCAAGGAGTTTTGTTTGCTTCTTGCTTCCTCCCTGCTCCCCTGCTCAACACATTTTCCCCTTATATTTTCATCTGCTGTCGATGCNTGCAGCAGCAGCTTCCGGCACTGCTTCCTCTGCTTCGGGCGGCTGGAGGAGCAGCCCTAAGCGACAGATGTTTCTTTGATGGTCTTTGCTCCCTGATTGGAATGAAAGAGGGACTTTTTGATGCAATTTACAAGAGGTTTGCTTCTATGAAGGCAGTTTATCCGGAGGTGAGCTGATGATCAAGCCGCAGGAAAGGTGCCTTTGGTTGCCTTTTGGTTCGTCTTTCCATTTTGGATGACACGTATGACCGTTGAGACATGAGCCCACGACGCGCGTTGTTCCTGTCACTGTCGTATTTCTGGCTTTATTTTGTGTGTTCAGTCGGTCTTGCCTTCAGAGACCGGTCTCGGTTTCCTACAGAGAGATGCGGGAGGCGCCCTAGAGGAGGAGATGGGAGTCATTCATTTTTGCTGTTGTACAAACGACAGAAGAGCTTCCTCTCTGACAAAATTGATTTCGGCGAAAAATATTTTTTCGCGGCAGCTGCCCAAAATGCCAAGGGACTATATTGCTCGACTGGTGCTTGACAGGAGTCATTTTACGTTCTGCCTCTGCAAAAAAGATCGCGTCGTTGGAGGCGTTTGTTTCAGACCTTACTTCCAACAGGTGACATACCACAACGGAANAAAAAAGATCGCGTCGTTGGAGGCGTTTGTTTCAGACCTTACTTCCAACAGGTGACATACCACAACGGAAGGGACACAGCCGTATTTTGCTGAGTCATTCTTTAATAAACTATGTAGTCTTAGATCGAATACTCTAAGTGATCCCGGCGTCATCAGGCTGACAGATATATGAACTATAGTCATTATTTTTATAGGAAGGAATTCAGCACGTGGCCATAAAATGAAGTAGCA